GGGCACGCGTAACCTTTAGGAGGCTTGTAGAGTGCTACTGGGAGCTGGGGGAAAAACGAGCAAAAAAACAGCCCATTTTTCGCTCGTTTTTGTCCTCCCCGGCCCTCCCAGGAGCAGTTTACAGGCCTCCCAAACCCTCTGCACGTCCATTTTTGTGAAGGGGGTGGGGTTTCCGGAAGCCAAAAATGCTGTATTCGGTGTATAAGATGCAACTAGATTTTCACCCTCTTTTTTTGGGAAAAAGGTGAGTCTTATACTCCGAAAAATACAATGATCTTTGTAAAACAAATACAACAAAGCTGTTGGGGTCAATTTATCTATCCCTGTTATTTGAAAAACCAATTGCCTAGCTGTAGCTGCAAAAGGAGAGAATGAAAAAATGCTTTCATTTGGAATGAGACTGTTTTGCTGAGCCCCTGATGTCTTGCACTGCAATCAAAGGACTTCGTCACTATTTTTCTTACTGGCTTACATTTGAGAGGATTAATTAGAAGGAAGTCTTGAAGTATGTCAAGATTGAGCAGTCCCAGAAGCAGAGTACAAGAAGAAAAAGAAAAAACAGTGCTTAATTCAGACTTTAAAGTGTGAACCCCCAAAGGCTCAGTTGAATTGTTCACCTCTATACTGAAGTAGCCTCTGTCCACGTAGTCTCCCAGGAAGAGGTAGCGTGTGTTATTGGGTGATCCACCGACTTCAAACAATTTCATCAGGTCAAAGTACTGCCCATGAATGTCACCACACACTAAGGGAGGAATAATAGCAAAAACAAATTTACACACTGAGTAGGGGGGGGAAATCACAAAACCAGCTGGGAACATAGCTTTGCTCTAAATTCTTGAATTCCACCCGTCCTACATTTTTGTTTTCATGGTATGGAAACACTTCCTCTCCAGAGGTGGGCTGCATTTACGTTCACAAGTGGTTCAATGGTTGTGAGCATGCGCGCTAGCTTCACTTGCACGCACCCCTTTGGGAGTGAAACAGAGCTTCAAAGAAGCAGGTAATCAACTCAGGCAGATCTGATGAGTAAGGCAGGGGTGGCGCAAAACTCAGCTGGGCAGCGAGGGTGGAGGGAACGAGCCAGAAAGTTAGTTATAAATGGATAGCTTAGCACAAGGGTGTGTGGGCAGGCCCAGACAGCAATCAAAGCTAAGGGTTCATCCAACCACGCAGCAGCCCATAACTGTTCCTCTCTTCCAAAAGTTGCCAAGTTTTCCAATATCAAACACACTTCATCATAACAAGGCACATCAGAAAACATTTCAATTTTAGGAGTCAGCTAGATCAGAGTTCCCCAACCTTCCCAGATTGGCAGCCCAGAGCTGGGGGGGGGGGGGGGGGGAGAGAAAGAGGGGATGATTTTGTGGGAGGGGGAAGTGGATATGTGCGTGTGTATGTGTGCACAAATGCCTGTGACGTTTGTGGTGAAATGAGCGTGAATGGAGCCGCGAGCACCTGTGATGAAGCTTGCACGAGTGGGGCCATGAGTGCACGCATACTGGCCGGTCCCTCACGCAGCCCAGTGGGGACCCCTGTGCTACATGACTCAGGAACTGCCTTCTAACCTGTGATTGGAGCTTCCACTTCAATCATTGTCTTCTCGTGTTTCAAGATGGCAGCTCCATCATTGATTATCTTCAGTGCTGCGTCCTCTTCCAGGCGCCCTTCTTTCACCAAATGGTTTTTTAAGATCTCTAACCGGGGCTTCCCATCGTCAAAAACTTCTTTGAGGGTTAGCCGCTGAGTTGGGGGGAAAGGAACAGCTGGAAAGAGAAACAAATAAAGAACATTAACAGAGTTTACTAGAACAAGAGTAATACTTTTAAAATAATAATTTCTCCACTAAATTGGGACAAGTGGAAATTAAGATAAATTTAGAAACTAATGCCCCCACCCCCCAAGCACATACTAGTTTTTAGTGAATTTATGTTTTTTTAGTAGGGAACCGGTCACTATTTTCTCAAGTGTAAACAATACAAGGATTAGCAGAGGTCTTGAAAGGAGAACTGTGAAAATCAACAGAGCTATTTGCCCTTCCACATTGAAATGGTTCCTATTAGAACACCCATAATTCAGGTCTCAAAAAAAATATGGACTGATATACAAAAATTGGGTAACACAATCATTTGGCAATGATGTTATCGAGAGATAGAAGTGAAGATTCCAGAGATATTCCTTTTTAACACAAAAGTTGTTCTAACTTTAACAAGTGTCTTTTAAATTCTGTAATTAAAAAGAAATGCCTACATTAAAAAAAATTAAATGTGCTTAGAGAAAAGTTGAGTATTTGATTGGAGAAATCCAATTAAAAACAACAACAATTGTATTTGTATTTTGTTTTAATTTTTGGTTTTATAATACGGATCAAAAAATTTTATTTTGCAGTTTACATTTCTCTTTGCTCAATGATCAAACATTTTATGACTCTTCCAGAATGTCTACAATATCTTTAACATTGCATTTTAGGATGCAGTATTGTAGGCAAACTCTGCCCACAACTAGGAGTTCGATCCTAACCAGCTCAAGGTTGACTCAGCCTTCATATATTTATTTTACTTTGATTATTTCAAGGGGTCTGAATAATTTTTGTGACTCCGCCCCCCCCCACCCCCAGAGGTGATATTCTGGAGAAGCAGTAGCGGAAATTTTGAGTAGTTCAGAGAACTGGTAAATACCATTTCTGACTGGCCCCGCCCTCATCTATTCTCTGCCTCCAGAGTCCCAGCTGATCGGGAGGAAATGGGGATTTTGCAGTAACCTTCCCCTGGAGTGGGGAGGGAATGGGGATTTTGCAGTATCCTTTCCCTGCCACGCCCACCAAGCCACGCCACGCCCACCAAGCCATGCCTTGCCCACAGAACCGGTAGTAAAAAAAAAATTGAATCCCACCACTGCTCCCCCCTTTATAAAATACTCAACCTTTCATTTTTTCTCAATAAGTATAGCAATCAAGAATCATTCCTTTTTCTTGCATGTTATAATTTGAAGACATGAAACCCTTATAGCAAGATTGAGCAAAATGTTTATATATTCCTTATTTCCTTGGAAATTTATTAATAAAACAAAATAAAATATCTCACTCTGAAAATGCACACTTTTTTGCAATGAATAAAACTCTAATTCATGTTCCTTCTCTATATAATCTTCAAATAACTGATTGAGGTTTAGTTTAAATAATTTGTTTGCTATTATAACACTATTTTGGCTATCCTTTCCCTAAAAATAGATGACATTTGGATTAGACTGTACTTTAAAAATAGAGATAGATTTGGTGATCCCTGATTTAGGCTAACAAATATATTCTTTTATTGTGGAATTTAAATGTTATGCGAAGGACTGCCACTGTTTTTCTTGCTAAGGTATTTTGATGACCATGGAAATTTATGGCAGGTAGCAGCTAATAATAATTAAAAAAAGACAGTGCTGTGGGACTGTCTTATGCCCAAGGATATTTACCCATGTAGTAGGGCTGTGTTACTTATCCTTCTCATCTTTCCTATTACCTTATCCTATTGCTATCTTATGATTATATCACTTGGTTGTTTGTACATACACTGAGAGCTTCTGCACCAGAGACAATTTTTGTGTGTGTCCAATAAAGAATATTCTATTCTGTTCTGTTCAAAAAACATTTAAACTGTTATATTACATTTAGTTCGGGTTTTTCTTATCTACAAGAAAACTATCTGGAAAAAATACAAAAAGGAACAGCTTGGGAGGAACTAAATGAACTGAAAAAAAAAGTTCAGAGGAAAAAGTGTTAGTTGTATTGTGTATGCTGTATTACATTTCTGTATGTACGTAACCAAACTAGTACAAAGTGTAAAAAGGAAAAAAAGTGGAATTTTTTTTAAAAAACAACTGTGTATAACATAAAGTTATCATAGAAGCACTAAATCCCAAAAGATTTATTTCAATAAAAAGGAATAGAAAAAGAATCAAGACAAACCAAAGGAAATATCTTTTTACACAATACAGTATATAGCTAAATCAGGAATCTGTTTCCTTGTGATGTCACATTATCCAAATAGGAAGGCTTTAAACAGGATAAGAAGAATGAACGAAGAATAATCAATAGCTATCAATGACTGCATAATATTAGACTAGCCCAAACAACAATGGCTAGAGCAGTGATGGCGAACTTTTTCGGGATCAAGTGCCCAAACCGGAACGTGTGTGCATGTGTGTGCGCCGGAACACCAGAAGACCAGCTGGCTGGTACATGTATGCATGCTTTTTCCCCTGTTTCCGGATCGTTTTCTGGGCCATTTTCAAACCGTTTTCTGGGCTGTTTCAGGCTGATTTGGGGGGCATTTTCAACCTGAAATCAACCCAAAATAGGCCCAGAAACCCCCCCCCCCAAAACCAGACCGTTTTCAAGCTGTTTTCTGGCGCTCTGATGCCCATGAAGACCAGCTGGTTGGAAACCAGAAGAGCAGCTGGCAATGACATGCGTGCCCAGAGTGGGCTCGGCGTGTTGCCTCTGGCACCCGTGCCATAGGTTCGCCATTACGGAGCTAGGGAATTTGCTCTTCTATCCTATTTATGTACTTCTCAAAAGATGTGGCTGGCCAATACAGGTAGTCCTCAAATTACAACCGCTCATTTAGTGACCAAAGTTACAAAAGCCCTGAAAAATGGACTTCTCAGAATTTTTCACTTATGACCACTGCAGCATCTCCCTGGCCACGTGATCAAAATTCAGACGCTTGGCAACTGACTCCTATTTATGACGTCTGCAGTCCACTGGGGCCACAACTTACCAACAAGCAAAGTCAATGGGGAAGCCAGATTCACTTAACACCTGTGCTTTTAACAAAAACTGCAGTGATTCACTTAACAGCAGTAGCAAAAAGGTCGTAAACTGGGGCAAACTTCACTGAGCAAAGGTCTTGCTTAGCAACAGAAATTTGGGGCTCAATTGTGGTTGTTAAGTCGAGGACTACCCGCAATGACAAATGTTGATAGGTTTTGCTCTGAGCAGCAGACTTTGTCTACGTCATATTCTTAGGATGAATTTTTGTAATGTAGGTTGCAGTTATATCAAAACTTGTGTAGATGTCAAACTCCTGTCAAGTTTTCCTCGTGGCTCACTGGTGACTAAATCTGCAAAGGTACTTTTTCACATAAAACATGAATTTGTCAAATATTTTTGTTTGCACGATGTGCAACAACAAGCTTTCTTTTTTGGAAAACCATTCTTAAATATTCAAGAGAAGCAACTACAGTTGGCTGATATTAGAAAAAAGTTTTTTTTTAAAAAAAATGTGCAAATCATTACATAGAACCATGATGGCGAACCTATGGCATGCATGCCCGAAGTGGTACACGGAGCCATGTTGCCTGGCACGCATGGTGTCACCCGTTTCTCTTCCAGGTTTCTGGCGTGCATGCATGTGCGATGATCAACTGGCCTTCGTGCGTGCACTGCCGGAAACTGGAAGAGCTGGTCTTCCGTTTTCCAATGTGAGCATGCACCCTGGACAGCTGATCATCGTGCGTGCATGCATGCCAGTAACTAGAAGTCTAGCTGGCCGCTGTGCATACGCCCACCAGAAATGCATTTTCTGGAGCGCACATGCCCCCTGGGCAGCTCTTCTTCCGGGTTGTGACCCAGATGAGCATGCACATGCTCCCTTTTTGTCATACAACCCAATAAGAACTGTATTCTGAGCCCGATTCCTCTGATTGACATTCCAGCTTACATTTTGCCATTTGCCAGAACTTTAGAAAGCCTAAAGCTCCAACAATTGAAAGATGGAAGACCTAAAATAACAGGATAACAAAGTTGGAAGGGACCTTGGAGGTCTTCTAGTCCAACCGCCTGGCTCAGACTTCTGCCTTGCTTTATAATGCTTTATAATCCTTTACCTTGCTTTACAATGATTAGTCTGTAAAACAGAGAGGAACCATTATTAACAGGCCAGATTTATGTTCTGAAACAGCACTTTACACATTGATCAACGGTTTGGCTTCTTGAAAGTACTTGATTAGCTACCATAGGTAAGCAAAACAATTTTTGCTGATTCAGATTGTTCCTCTTTCCCCTGAGGCAATTTCCCTCCCATTTCAATAATTTAAGAGGAAATGCTCTAGGGGAGATTTGGAACAGCAATGAAAGTTAAACAGGGACTTGGCTATTTGGTGAAAGAATGCTGCAGAAGCCATGCTTCCTTTAGTGGCCTTTAGTGGCCGAGGTGACACAGTGGTTAGGGTGCAGTACTGCAGGCCACTTCAGCTGACTGTTATCTGCAGTTCAGCGGTTCTAATCTCACCGGCTCAAGGTTGACTC